GGAGGCTGAGGGAGATGGCGGAGGGTGAGGGGAGCGGGTGGCCGGCGGGCTGCGGGGAAGGGCTCGCCTCCCTCCTCACAGAAGTCACGCAGGGCGGAGCAGGCCACCGTAACCGCAGGTACTGGGCACCCCAGGATCAAGCCCGTTGCTCAGGGCACGCAGAGGGCTGCAGCAGCTGCGACCGCTCCGGCTGCGATGTCCCTCAACCGCCTCCCCCGCCGTGGCCCAGCACTACAGCCGTGACAGGATTAACACCTCCGGTACGGCGTGCCTTAACGGCGGCTGTATGAAACGTTACGGACGGCATTGCTTCCTTGGGGAGTCCCTCAGCTGAAGAAAGATAACGTGACGCCTTCCCTTTAGAAAGCGTCAAACCGGTAGCGAGAGGGAGACTGCCTAGAGCTGAAGCACCACCAGACAAAAAGCCTCAGCACCATTCCCTTCAACGAACTGCTTGCCAAAATAGAAAGTTACTTGCCAACGTAGGCAAAGCTGGAGCTGCCTCATGTCATCCTCAAGCTTCTCAGGGTTGTAATAAAAAGGAGTTTTCAAGTTCCTGAGTTTGATGACAGTTTCAATGAAAATACGTACAAAATTGTTCGGGTTTCTCAAAGCCAGTTGAAAGGGTCACTTTCTGCTGCCAGTTCTGTCTCAGGAGCCTGCTCTTGCCTGTGACTGGGATCCAGGGAGGGCAACAGAACAGGCCGGCACGGTCTCAGGAGCAACTTGCAGGCGCAGAGAACATGCCTTTTCAGACTACCCAATCCTATGTTTTCAGAAGGGTCTGGTAGGTTAAGAAATAGCAAGGCAGCTGGAAAACATGGGCACACATAGCATGGTAAATCATTATAGACACGATATAAGAAAAAGAACATGTAATAATATAAGCATATGTGCAACAGAAGCATCCAAGCTAACTCTCTAGAAAAAAAGTCAGGCAGTCCCAGGGGGGACCTCTCTCCAAGGCAAGTTGTGTTTAGATTTCAGACCTATTGGCTACAGAGGCTCTGAAAAGAAACTGATTTAAATCAAAAGGGTATCTCTAGGAAAACAGCCTAATAAATGGTAAAAAGCAATAAAAATAATTTCTTTCCATACTCTACCCAGTATTTTGCAAAACTTAATGGCAAATATTTTTTAATAAATTGTTCTATGGAACTAAAACTAGTATTTTCACAACAAATCCTCATCAATTGTCAGTGTTACTGAGGTTTTGTTGAGAGTTCTCACAAAAGTCTCAAAGAATCAAGGTCAGCTTGATCTGCTTCAGTTTGCAGTGAGAATAAAGCACAGTGGCACAGGAAATAAATTGAGAACCTTTAGCCTGGTAGCATGCAGGAAAAAGAATTTAAATATTTCCATTTCAAGCTGTATATCACACAGCTTCTCTTTTCTCATTGCATTAGAAGGCTACAACAGCCTGTACAAACTCATTGACTGACATTCACTAGATCATTCCTGAGAGGAGAAGTCATGGTTACTAAGTTTATGGCTTAGCTTTTCAGGGACAGTATTTGGAATGATAAAACTTAAAAGAATGTCTTTTAAATTTAAGCACAAGTTTACAGTAATTGTCCAAGTAATTTTTCATCCTGACGTGCATGCAGCAAGCTCCTACCAGGTTCCATTGATCTAGCTACAAATGCTAGATAAGCAGAGAGAATATGGTTGTGATTTAGTCCGGACACAGTACCGCTCTCCATCTTACATTTCTTGTTTACAACATACATTTGAAAATAGGAGTTGATTTGCAGAACAGCTGCACAATATTTCAAATTGTGCTTGTAAATGTCGACTTATTTCAAAAGGTAAAATGCTATATCGGTATCTTTTGCTCAGACAGAAGTGGAACCATGCACTTAATTTTTTTGCATTTCACTAGTAGATAGAACATCATCTTGGTGGGAAAAACCATCATATAACTTGATTTCCAGAGTCTCAGAGTTGAGGTAAGTCTTTTAACCTTTCTTTAGGGAAAAAATTTTCTTCTGAAGCCTTAAGGCTTAGGAACTGGAAGTTATGAATTTAATACTTAACATGAGTTGTACATCACTAACATTTTAAGTAACCCTTCAATTAGTTTTTTATTATCCTACAAGGTCTGAGCAAAAGGTAATTGCTTGCCCATGTTCATAAAGCTTCCTGTTAAGTTATTTTACAAGTCAGCAATTGTGGAACTCGCCAGTCTTTAACCTGGGGCTATCTGACTTCCCAGTATCTTCATGAGCAGCGCTATCAATCATCTTTTTCCACTCTGCAGTGAAATTTTCCTCCATTCAGCTTGCAGATATCTGGTAATTATCAGTTCTGAGACAGGTCAAGCTATTTAAATCTTTCAAAATACAGTCCTCACCCTGCCCTCACCAGAAAAACATAACACTGTAAAACTTTTTTGGTATTGTGAAATGTTGGGAATTCAGAAAGAATAGATGTCTTCTCATATCCCTCAACTAAGCCCTGGAGCCCCAGCAGATGCTGTTCCTCCCCAGCCTCGTTCCCCCTCCCTAGGACCCACAGTCCTCCCACATGCAGGAGTTCCAACTAGGATCTAGTGTTTGGGGACTAAGAGAGCACTACCAACAGAGAACATCTCAAGTGCAGCGCTCTTTCTTACAGGTTTCTTTACAGAGAGGCTATATAGGTAGCAGCACCTCAAATATGGGCAGAAAGCCAAGGGAATAAAGCTAGATATCTGTTCATATCACTACCTGTTTATTTTGACATCACATATGCTTAGAATCGCAACCACCACTGGTCTCTTCCTCTCATGCTAGAGCAGCAGGCAAGCCCCACAGCAGTCCCATACTCTCTTAAAGGAGCTTCAGACACTGATAGTCCAGCTTTGATGTGGTTTAAGAAAAATAATCTGGGATGGGGATTCTTTGTTCTACAGCATACTTACAGAGGTCACAAAACAGCCCTCATGTAACAATACTTTTCGGATATGAACTTCACCTATCTTCCCTCACTTCCTATTTTCTTCCACCATAGTGGAATATACAGCACAGGTCAAGCTTTCCTTGCAGGCTGCTGCTATGGCTCTTTTAAGTTTGAAGTGCAGTCTGTGTGAATTCCTGTCACATCAGACCCTGAGTAAAGCCTAAGTCAACTCCCCAGGGGATACCAGGCTATAGATTTTCCTTAAGACAAACAGCACAATGCAAAACAAGCAACTGAAAATGACAAGGGAGCCAAAGGTAGGGTGACAGATTTCAAGGCAATACTCTCCTCTCTTTGTGACCGCTATTTGTCCTGACTGAAATGCATGACATTTGAAGGTTCTGGCAATGATAAGGTAGTAAAGAATGACACAGTCATCCTGCAACTCTCATTTGCGTTTCAGATCCAGTTATCTTTATTGATTTGTCTGTATTGATCCCTATGAAAGCAAAAGACAAATCAGTCACTGAGCTTGCACATATGTTGCCCCTGAACAAGCACAGAATGCCACAAGTAAACAAACCATCCTGGAATGTCTGTAGTATCAAACACTGTGCACAGCACTTCACAGCCAAATTTGATGCAAGCCTTCCGCCTTTAAGAAAGGTGTTACGCCATTTAAATAACTGGAAGTGTTCCTAGGAGTCCCAATTCCACACATAGTAGGATCTCCTTGAATTAAAAGTGGCCCTAAGAGGCCTAGCTTTAAATTAATCCTCCTTGAACCAGGGACAACCTTTGAGATTGCTGTGTTCCATGATGAAACTGGCTAGAGTAGGCGAGGTAGACGACATTTCAGAGAGCTTCTGAAGAGATTGTTCTTCCAAAGCCAATATCCTTTCAGTTAGTTTTACGCTGTCCTTGTGCATCTGATTCAAGTCCTGTTCAGTTTTTTGGATGGCTAAGTGATTAATTTTCCTTCTCTTCTCCACACGCCCTGCAGGAAAACCAGATGGCACAGTCAGCACACTGGATATCTAATAGACAATGATACAATAAAGACTGGCAGTAAGTTTTGAAATTAAGTTATGATAACCATTCCCCACAGCATATTTAAAATTAAGCGATGATAAATGAAACCCACTTCCATTCATGATCAATAGCTTTTTTCTTGAAAGAAGAATGCAGACCTACATTCATATTTACTACTAACCCTTCAAGATAGCTTGCTATAGAAACAGCACGGAAGAGGTATCCATTTCTTATTTGCTTATGTATGAGGAATACTTGATTTAGGCTTTTCCCAGTTAGACAAGATCTTCTATGCTCCATGAAAATGCTCAGCGTATCTTAAAAGATTATTTTCTCATACTATGAGGAAGAGAGTTACAACCTTGGAAAATGTATATTTTAAACAAGCTAAGATACCATTCAATTAAATGCAGTCAGTTTCATTAAAAAAAATCCAGTCTTAAAATGCTTGAAGCCATAACCCACCCCCCACCCTGCCTTTAAAAAGGAGCCCCCCCCCAATAAACCTGAGTCTAAACCCATTTCTTATCTGATCTTCAGGCTTTCTGCAAAGTTAATCTTTTTATTAAAGCTTTTGGAAGGATGGTAGATTTGGGATAAAAGGCAAGGAGGCTTCACGGGCAGCATGCCTGGCAGAAAACTTTATAGAAGCTTTAGAGCAGTTTGCTGTGGCCATGTGGTGGTAACTGTGGAAAAACAATTCCTGTGGTAAAAACCCTAAGCGTTTGTGTTCATTTGGTCATCCACACTTAACACTGTTTTATTCCAAAATGAAAAGTAGATACAACAAACTGTTAGTACAATTTTCTCAAGATTTTGTTTCTTCAAGAAGGATTTCATAACATAGGAGTTATGAACATTATGGCAATGAAGGGCTCATAAATCAAACCAAGTAAGGCATGAAAAGAAGCTTTTATCTAACCTGAAGCTAGTTTAGCAAGCATATGCTACATCCATGATTTAGTTATTCAAAGGCCTCCATTTCAAGCTATTTCACATTCCAAACATTAGGATGTCCATAAAATAAGTGTTCTGCCAGCTCAATTCTGGCAATTCTTCAAAGAACATCCCTTGCGTTGGTTTACTCTTATCAAAAGCACAAAGCATAGTAGAAATTCTTCACAAAGTACCAATAAGCAGCTTTAACCATATATTTGACATGTGGAATTATCGGTGTTCTTATTAAATTTTAAAATCAAGTTTATTTTCAAGAATAAATTAGATTACATTAGTCTGCTGCTTAAGGTCATTCAGAGATATGATATGAATGGACAAAACACACCTGCTCTGTGGTTGTGGAGCCTGTTGTGTCATACCTTTTCCCATGCTAATGACCACTTAACAACTCTCTGCAGCCAGTTTAAACTGGAAAACCCTCAGACTGAAAACAGATCAAACCAAACTGGTTAATGTCAGTCTAATTTACCTGAATCTGAACAGGTGAAACTGTTACCCTCCAAGTCTGTGTCTAATTCACTGTTGTTCATTCATTGCTCGTTCAGATTCCTTTAAGTTTTTATAAAAGGAAAAGAAAATCACTTGATTTCCAAAAATGTGACACAAATTACTAGTTTACCTGTACTGTGAGAGATAACTATGGAAAATAATGACTTGCTGTAGTTTTCATGGGATTCTGCTATTTTCTTCCCAGTTTGGTTAAAACTACTGCTGTAGCAGCCACACACCACAGTTCAGTGGATAGCTAGCGACTGAAATGCTATCTATGCTGCAACTGCAATTACAGCTGTCATCACCTTTGTTTAGTTAGTAAAATGTAATCATTTAATGTACGTTTAAAAAAAAAAGACAAAGCTGCAACTGGTAGTCTTCTGTATTTTGCAGATTAAGAACTAAATACAGACAGAGCATATGGACTTCACAGTTCTGGCAGATTCTGTCTGTGGTTTGCAAGTGTTTGGTGCCTTATCCTGCAACTTTAATGTAGTCTCAGCAATGTACCACTTCTTCCTCTCCCCTACTCTAGGTAAGAGCTACGATCATATCCCAAAGTCACCTTCTTTAGGGACATTACAAATAACAAATTAATATTTTTTTCAGTTCTCTACTCATCATTAAGGTCTATCACTCAGTGCTGAGGAACAGGTCTTAGGCTATGGTGCTCTGTATTAGTGACAAGTATCATGAACCAGAATCTGTACTCTAAAGCTGTATGCTTAATTCTTCTTTTACCAAGCCAGTCACACACATAGAGGACCACTAGGACATTCCACTTGCAGATTTACTAGTTATATTACTAAAGCAGCCCCATAAACAAAATCCTCCCCCCCCCCCCCCGAAGAAACAAAGCTTTTTCCCCCATGTTACTGTTCAGAAACTGCTGTCCTCTAGTTCTCTTCAGCTAGGTCCTGCTCCTTCAAAAACATACAGAGAGAAGACTGCAAGCAACCTCAGGGCGTAAAAGGCTCTAGTTTGGTAACCTTTTCCCCTCCCTACCTTCCCCTACAATGCCATGTTATTCAATCCTTTCCACTCCCTGCTGTGCCACCTCCAGTACTATGCTGCAATAACTATGAGATCAAGGCAAATTGGGTTAAAAAAAACCAAATTAACTAAAAACAGACAGACAGACACAAATTCTTTAAACATTTGGGAGAAAGTAAGTTTTTAAACTGTACCACTTCTATAATCCAGCTCAGGTAATTCAGATGCAAAAGCAATTGCATCATCCCAGCTGAAAGAATGGTCTAGGAGTGCTAGGAAGAAGAGCTAGGGATCTTGAGTTAGGGCATATTATAGCTCGAGATTCTCTCCTCCCAGTGAAGGATTTATGAAGAGGGGTAAAGTACAATAAAAAGCAAGACAATTCTGTTTTCAAATACTTTAAATCATCAGATGAAGCATATTCCATAAACCATATTCCAAGTGTTTGGTATTTTCCTGATCAGCACAGACAAGTGCCAAAATAAAATCTGTGTCAACAAGAAAACGAAAGTATTAGAAACAATACAGCCTTGGGTTATAAGAAATCTCTATGTAAATAAACAGCAGGCAGAAGAATACAGTATTTTTTCTTACTACATGTTCTTGATTTTCACAGCTTCTACTCTGATGTCTGAGTACCCAATCTGTATTAGATGGCTGTATTCTGGAAAGAGAAGGTAAACCTGGGTGTAAGCTGTGTGTGATAACACAGTGCATAATTTCAGGCATGGAAAAACCCCATACTTTTAGACCAGTTTTCTTCAAGTTTTTTCCAACAGTGAAAACAAATGTAGGAATTAAAACCAAACACACAGCAACTCCTCCACTAATTTTAGAAAACACCTTAAGTTGCGGAAAACATGAGGGACACTTTCTATAGAGCGTACCCTTGCTCAGTCCTAAAATACCACTGGTGTGCTGCCTTACTCTCACTTTCTTACATGCCTCCCCTACCATTTCCAGGAAAGTTGCATCTGTTCTGAGGCCAGAAGAAAGGTTAATTTTTTAAGAGATTTATCCAATCCCATTAACTGTCTCCTTAGCAAGCCTTTACACTCAAAAGATTTTCTGCCCTTTTAGCTTGCCACTTTCCCTAACTTTTCAAAATCTTGCTTTGTCAAGATACTCTTTCCTAGTTAGTAAACTTGAACATTTTTATTGCAGTTTGTTTTATTCTGACCCTGACTAAAGCAGATCTCAGGCTTAGTAACTTTATTATACAGACTAGTTTCTTTTCACAACTATTCAGCAGAGTACTCCAAATCCAGCTAGGTTAAAAAAAAAATAAAATAAAAAAATCTCCAAAAACAGTTGAAAGTTTTATGATTACCACTGTAAAAGCTGTATTTTTAAGAGGACAACTAAAATGGCATTATAAGGCTAGGACTAAATCTTGTATCCTGTCTGCACTTCTATTGAAGCCTGTAGGAGAGATTGTGGAAGTAAAATGAAAGCATTGTTTGTGTAGTAGTTTTAACAATATACTAAAAGCAAAACCAAAACACAAATGTACTCAAACATGCAGCCAAGGTAACCATCAACAAAATACAGGAAAAACAATGTTTCTCTATGCCTATAGACCTAAAATGACAAGTCTATCAAGATTTCATTTAAAATTTACAAAACCTTACTGTTAGATCTGTGGAGTTTCTCCAGAAAAAGGAAAACCAAACCACCTATAACCTGACCGTAGCAGTTTGTAACTATGGCTAAATCAAGATGATGTAACTTGAAAAGAGAAAAACCACTCTACTCTTGTGCTGTGTATGCAGTTGCCAGGTCAGCACAGAGCTCTCCTTTCGAAGGCTCAAAGGCAGG